CGTTGATCAGAAGCGATCTCTGTTGGGAGAGCAGAGGTGTCCAGAGCAGGGCTCACACCTTTCATTTAATATCGAATGTCATCGTTCTGTCTCCTCCTGGCTCTGGAGCTGTCACCTGAAAAGGACAGAAGTACAGACCTTCAGCGCCACTTTACTAGCTAGGCAGCGAGATGGCAGAAAAGGACCTAGGGGTTAGGGTGGATCATAAATTGAATATGAGTTGACAGCACGGTGAGGTTGTGAAAAAGGCAAATAAAATTCTGAGGTCTATTAATGGGAGCATCGTATGTCAGACATGGGAGGTCATTGTCCTGCTGTAGTTGGCATTGGTGAGGTCTCAGCTGGAGGACAGTGTACAGTTTCGGGTACTGCACTTTAAGAAAGATGTGGGCAAACTGCAGAGAGTCCGGAGAAGAGCAATTAAAATGATCAGAGGTTTAGAAAACCTGACCTAGGAGGGGAGGTTGAAAAAATTGGGCAGGTTGACTCTTGAGGAGAGAAGGCTGAGGGGGGAACCTGATAACAATCTTCAAATATGCAAAAGGTTGCTAGAAACAGGATGGAGAACAATTGTTCTCCACGGCCACCGAGGGACAGACAAGGAGGAATTGGCTGAGTTTGCAGCTAGGGAGAGTTAGGTTAGATACTAGGAAAAACTTGCTAGCTCTACGGATAATTCGGCTCTGGAGCAGGTTACCTAGGGGAGGTTGTGGCATCCCCGTCATTGGAGGTTGGACAAACATCTGTCAGGGATGTTTTAGGTATATTTGGTCCTGCCTCAGCATGGGGTGGGGTGGGGCTGGGCGCTTCAGGTCCCTTTCAGACCTATATCACATGATTCCATAGTTGGGTACTTGGTGGATATGTATGGGAATGGCTGGATGGGTGACTGTGGATAGGGATGTATGAGTGGGTGGATGGATACGCATGGGAATGTATGGATGGGTGTGTATGGGGAAGGATGGATGGACGCACGTGTGATAGATGGATGGACACAGAGTCACCAGATTGGGGCCCTGTTGTGCTGTGCGGTGCCCAGACACAGAGTCACGGAGATCAGGGGCCCCTTGCACTGGGTGCTGCAGATGGTCCCTGCCTGGAAGAGTTCTCAGTGTAAATAGACAAAAGAAGGAGGATCTCCCTGTGACGTTGCACTCCATATGGTTTATGGAAATATGCCTATGAATATGACATAACTGGAATATGCTTTATGCTAAATACCCCTTGTATGGTGTCATTAGAAAGCTTGTCATCTACTAAGTGTGTTCATCCTATTTTTTTGCATGTATTATTTCTATAGCTGGAGTTAGGAAAATAAGGTATAAACTTGTATCACTGATGTAAACATATTAAGTGGAGGCCATTAAGGATGCTCCAGAAACAATCAGTTGTAATGGCCTTAGTTATTTGAAAGCCTTCCTGTGTACGTGTGGGCCAGCCCATGAGTAATGAGACTAGGGGTCTTACAGTGACATGTGACCATGTCACCTGATAATAAAATCCATGTTAAATCTGGTACTTTTCCATTTAGAAGGAGGAGTGGGGACCCAGAGAGACAAAAGATTCCTACCTTTTGCCAAAGCTATAAAAGGGGGTGGAGGAGGACAAAAGAGGCTGCCACTCATGCAAAACCCCCTGCTTACCACCTGAGATGTCTGCTGGAACTAACAAGGACTGTACCAGGGGAAAGGATTGGGCCCAGACTAGGAAGTAGTCTAGTCTGTGAAAGAAGCTTATTGGAACATCTCTGAGGGTGAGATTTTACCTGTAATCAGTTTTTTAATGTATTAGGCTTAGTCTTGTGTGGTTTTGCTTATTTTGCTTGGTGACTTACTTTGTTCTGTCTATTACTTGAAACCACCTAAATCCTACTTTTTATACTTAATAAAATCATTTTTGTTCATTATTAAACGCAGAGTAAGTGATTAATACCTGGGGGAGCAAACAGCTGTGCATATCTCTCTACCAGTGTTATAGAGGGTAAACAATTTACTAATTTACCCTGTATAAGCTTTATACAGAGTAAAATGGATTTATTTGGGGTTTGGATCCCATTGGGAGCTGGGTGTCTGGGTGCTGGAGACAAGTACCTGCTGAGCTGTTTTCAGTTAAGTCTGAAGCTTTGGGGGTGTGGCCCAGACCCTGGGTCTTTGTTGCTGTAGGCTAGCGTGTCTGGCTCAAGAAGGCAGGGTTCTGGAAGTCCCAAGCTGGCAGGGAAAATGGGCTCAGAGGTAATTTCAGCACATCAGGTGACAGTCCCAAGGGGATCTCTGTGACCAAACCCATCACACACACCCCTGGTCCAGATGGGTATGCTATCAACAGAGACCATCCCATTGCCCTGTCCTACCTGTCTCAGGCAGGGCAGTAGCTCCACTGATGGTCCCTGTCATAGTTGTCTGTGGTGGAACACCAGAACTTTCCCTTGGCCTCTGCCAGGTTGGTGCAGGTGCGGAATTTAAACTTCTTGTAGATGAAGGGGAAGACACAGGGCTTGTCATAGTCTGCAGCCAAACACACCACCAGCAGGTGAGAACCATGGCCAGAATCACAGGCAGCACATAGCAAATGCAGGCGACATCAGACTGGAAGCAAACACTTTATTAGATAGTTCCCCATGCAGCTTAGGGCTACGGGAGAGAGTGCAGCCCTGTGACGGGGTGCCAGGCAGAGCAACGAGAGACTTGGATACTATGCCTGGCTCTGCTGGGTGACCTTTAGCTAGGCACGGCCCAGCTCCGTGCCTCAGTTTACCCAGTTATGCAACATGGGGCTAACGAGCCAAAGATGCCAAGGGGAAAGGCAAAAAATGTCTCTGCTGTTCGGGGTTATGTATGCGAAATTTGTTAGGTGGTTTGTGGGTCCGTGGGAAGTCTGTTTAGCCAGTTTATACACGCACAAGTGGTTAGGCACAGCCACACCTCAGATGTGTTTTCGGGTACATCCTCTGTGGTTATTACATGCATTAGTCAAGGCCTCTATATACTAGTGTGAGATCTGGGATCCCTTCTGCTGGGCACTGCCCAGGTAAACAGTTGCTGAGATTGGGGCACTGAGTGCCACCCAGACACAGAGTCACTGAGATCAGGGTCCCATCGCACTGGGCGCTGCTCAGACACAGAGTCACTGAGATTGGGGCCCCATCATGCCGGGCACTGCCCAGACACAAAATCAGGGTTGTGCGAGGCGCTGCCCAGACAGACAGAGACCGACAGGCCCTGTCTCAAAGCGCTGCCAATTTAAACAGCCAATAGAAGGAGCCCCACCACTCCAGGGCGATTTGGGGGATGGTTTTAAGAACTGCTGAACAGCTGCTACCCATGAACTTCAGCTTGCTCAGCTTTTCCTAAAGGGCGGAGGGTGGGGACCAAAAAACCAACCAACCTGCTCTTAAGTGACTCACCCAAGGAGTCTATGATAGAGCCAGGAATTGAACCAGACCTCGTTGAGCCAAACACCTTAACCGCAAGGTTCAGCTTCCTCCATCCCCTGTCCTACCTGGCTTGGAGCAGTAAGTCCACTTCTTGTCCACGTCGTAATTCCCGGTGGTGCTGCACCACAGTTTTCCCGAGCTCTCTCCGTCGCTGGTGCAGGTGTAGTACACTTTCTTCTTATAGATGAAGGGGAATGCACAGCTCTTTCCTACTGCGTTCCCACCCAGGACTAGGGAGGCAAAGGGAGGTGGTTATAGACACCACCAACACACCCACCTGCCTATGGTATAACGGCTCCCACATCCCACTATGACCTGGCCACCCATCACCAACAGCCAAGAAATCTCAGGTAGGCGTTCATAGATCCCAAGGCCAGAAGGGACCATTGTGATCATCTAGTCTGACCTTTAGAACTCAGGCCAGTGAATTTCCCCTGGTTCGCTCTGTGTTAAACCCAATAACTTGGGTTTCACTCAAGTATCTTCTAGAACAGCATCCGGTCTGGATTTGAAGACATCATCATGGCCAAAGCATCTTCCAGGAGGGCCAACAGGAACCTGGCTTCCCAAAACCCACTGACTCTATCGGTTCTGGGTCTGATTCTATGGCTGCTCCTAGACCCTGGCCTTGAACCTTTCCTGAAGGAATCCTTAGAGGCTCATTTAGCTGCTGGGAGGGGTGTGTTGTAATCCACTATCCCATCCACCAATCAGATAGACTCCCACTGCCCAACTCCCATTGGTATCAAAGTGTCACAACTCCTCATTGGCTCAGGGGCACAGCAGAGATGTGATGAGATCATACAGGAGATCTGGAGGCCCCTGGACAACTTGGTAAACAGAGGTGGATGAAATTTTTCAGATGAATTTTTTTTTGGCAAAAAGTACAGATTCAGTGAAGCCAAAATGTGTTGTGAATTTGTGCCAGTTTTGTGGGATTGTTCATGTCGGAAAAATGATCAAAAATTCAGAAAAAGTCAATTCTTCAATTTGAAACAACTTCTGCTTTCAAAATCCCCTATTTTATTAAAACCAAAATTTAGAAAGTTTAAAAAATGCTCAAAATTGAAATGAAATGTTTCATTCGACCCAAAGGGATTTTTTTCCCCTTAAATTTTCAGTTCAATGAAAATTTAAAACAAATCATCTTTGGGATCCAGCCAAAACAATTTTGTTTCCTGATTTTTTACTTCACGAAAAGTATCAATGAAAATTTCAGTTCCAGGATCCACCCAAAATGTTTTTTTCCCTGATCTTACAAATGATGGAAAATTTCGAACAAGCTTGTTTCTGGGATCCTCCCAAAACACATTGCCCCAATATTTTTGATTAATTAAAAACTGTGAAATATTTCATTTTCTGGACAACCCGAGACAAATGTTTTTCTAATTTTTTGACACACTGAAAATTTCAGAAATTTCGTTTTAGGAACGCACTCTAAACCATTTTTCTGACTTTGCAATGCAATGGCAATTTTTAAAAATATTAACTTTCATGATCTACCTGAAATGATTTCCCTCCCCGATTTTTTGATTCAATGACAATTTCAAAAAATTCATTTTCATGGCAATCCACGACAAGCTCCTCCCCCCACCCCGATTTTTCAGAATCACCAGCAAACCACAAATTATTTATTTTTCCGGCTGTATGGGAAAAGCCAGAGTCAGATCTGCCCCAGAGGGAATATACGAAGAGACTGGATACATTACTGATATCTGGACAGTAGCTCCACAGCTTATCCTGGTTGTAGTTCTGGGTTGTGGCGCACCAGAAATTTCCCATCTTGCCTCCAGCATTCGTGCAGCTGTGAAATAGCTCGGTTTTGTAGATGAAAGGAAATATGCAGCGCTGGCCATTCGAGTTCCCCCCATAGGCTGCAAAGGCAACGAGTAAATCAGAGTGAACAGCAGGAATGCCAAAGAGAGCGACCATCGTGGCCGTTTTCTTAGCAAAAAAAGAAAAGCCGGGGTAGGTGCGTCTCATCTCACTGCTGTGGCGAAAGCCAAAGATAATTTTGTACAGTGGGTGAATGGCGTTGCGCCTAGGAGCATGGGATCACCCCAGGGCCCATCTAGTCTGCCATCCTGTCTCTGACGGCCGCATCACAAGGAGGTGCCAGGCAATCTGGCTGCACAGGGGAAGCCATTTGTAGCATGCAGCCCCTCCAGCGAGCTCATTTGACCCGCAAGACTGGGTGACAGCACTCCCTGTGTTAGAGCTCCACATACCGGAATGTCCTCCACAAACTCTTTACCTCTGTGCCGACACGGAGCGCTCTGGTCACGGCCAGGACTCACCCTTGCTAAAGCAGAAGCGCCAGAGATGGTCTTTGTCGTAGTTGGAAGTGGTAGCACACCAGGGCCGTCCCATCTGATCATCGACTGCCGTACAGTTCTGGTAGGTCTTGCCCTTATAGATGAAAGGGAAGACGCAAGGGGAGCTGTCTGAATTTCCCCCTGCAGCTGGTGGAGAAAGAGGCAAGGGAGGAAAGGGTTAAAAACAGGGCAGAAGGCAGGACTCAGGGCAGGCGATTTTCTGGGAGAACTGGGTGTGAATTTTCCCAACAAAATGATTTTTTTTAAGTGGAAAAAATGCCAATTCATGGGAATCGAAAGTGTTTGGGCCTTTTGATGAATGTTGCTGGTTTTGATGCATTTCCCGACTTGAAGATGAATGAGCTCTCCCCTGACATCTAGTGGTGAGCTGTGGAAGAGCACTTCAGGAGCTGATCTCACTTGCATGGACACACCCACCCTTCCTAGGTGCTCAGCATGATGGGATTGCTGGCCCTGGCTGGTGTGGGGGATCCCCAGCCTCCTTGTTATTGAGACAGGAGTAATAAAGGGCTGTTAGCCTTGTGCGAACTGAGGGCAGCAGAACTGTACCTGGCATACCCCAATGGAGGGACTCACCCTCAACTCAAGGCACTTGCCAGGCAGGGGCCATGGGTGCCAAAGCTCAGTGAACTGAGAGAGAGTGGGGACAGATGCTTCTGTGGGGCTGGGGCCTGGCCCATGGGCTGCAGATACTCTTTGACCTGTCCTCTCTCCACTCTCCACAGAGCTACTTTAAACTCAATTGAGAGTCTTGTTACATGATGCAGAGCTGAAATCACTGATACCTAGGCCTAAGTATTAGACCTGTTTTGGGATAGTATCTCTATTGCAAGAGACAGACCCATGTGCACCAGTAGTGAGGCTCCCCCCCTAACAGCTGAAATCACTGAGAGCTATGTTAAGTGATGGACCCTGAAGACTTCTTAGCGAGTGGCCAGCAGGGCAGCTGGTGGAGAGGTCCAGAGCAGAGCCCCGCAGAGAGGAGTGGGGAGTGAGTGCCTGAGCAGTGGAGCAAGTAAGGTGCCTCCTTACCCACCCTCCCTCCACTCAGGGTGGAGGTGAACTCTGCAGATGAGCCTCTGAACTCTAGGTCTTCACTGGCCAAGGACAGCAACTGTGAGTAGGGTGTAGAGAAGGGATGGGCATGTTAAAGGAACTTTTGGTTGCTGGATTTAACACCCTCAGGGGAAAAGGACACTGCCCAACTTACTGGGGTGGGTCTTTTGCTCATGGTTTATGTTTATGAACCCTATTTGGGGTGTTTTCCCAAATTAACTTAGAGTTACTTCCCTCCTTTTATTAAAAGTTTCTTTTCTCCACTCAGACTCTGCTTGCGAGAGGGGAAGTTTTGCCTCTTACGGGCGCCCAGGGGGTGGTGTGTAATTTGTCCCAGGTCACTGGGTGGGGGCTCGAGCTGGTTCTGTGTTGTATTGTTGAAAAGGAACCCCTAGATACTGAACCTGGCCCTTGTTACTGCCAGCTCTGACTGGCAGAAGGGTTACAGAAATTTAAGCTAATTAGAGTAAAAAAATAAATAAATAAAAAGGTTGAAATGGAAACAGAAAGTTTCAAAACAAAACTTTTTAACTGAGCTGAACTGAAAGAGAGTTTGGCTTTTCAGTTCATGAATATTTTCAAGGTTTCATTTTTTCCCTCTCTAATCTCAGAGGGGAAAAATATTGAATTCCCAAAAATATTTCTAGGCTAGGGAAAAGATCCAAGGTGTCGATTGGCAGCACTGGGCAAAATTTTGGTTTGGTTCAGTACGGGCACAGGACCTATATACAAATGAATGCTTCTTGTCCACTCATTTTGTTTGACTGTTCAGATACCACAGTAATGGAGACACTAAAAACTCCCAGAATAGAATAGAGCATTGCCCAGACACACAGTCACTGAGATTGGGCCCCGTCATGCCAGGTGCTGCCTAGACACAGAGGCAAAACCAGGAATAGAACCCATGTGTCCAGATTCCCTCTCCTGTGCTCTCTCCATTGGGCCACGGCCCCCATAGTCTGCACATACCAGCTGCAAAGCAAACCCACCCCTTAAGCCTCCCCTGGCCCCACATACCTGCTGTGCCGCAATACCTCCATTTATGGTTCGCTTCGTAGTTGCTTGTGGTGGCACACCAGGGCCGCTTGCTGTCATCCATGGTACAAGCCGTGTACCTCCTGCCTTTGTAGCTGAATGGGAACGTACAGGGATCCTCCGAGTTCCCGCCAAGCACTGGGAGAGATGGGGTGGGGGAGAGAGATGGGATGCGGGAGACAGAAGAGACAGAGAGCATGCTGGGTATTGTGGCTCACACTCTAATCAGAATCACCACAAGTTGAGCCTGTTTCCAGGTAAATAAAACCCCTCACCTCCCCGAGCCTCCCAGCAGCGTGACCACTGCCCCCCAACCACCCCAGGGTAGTGCAGGGAATGGGAGACTGGGTTATGGGGCACTGGCAGAGCTGTGTGGGGGGTGAGCCCAGGGCTGGGCTAGGCTAGCAGGGGCAGTGGGTCGGGAGTGAGGGGCACTGGCAGAACTGGGAGTGAGCCCAGGGCTGGGCTAACAGGGGCTGCGGGGCAAGAGTGGAGGGCACCATCAGGGCTGGGTGTGTGGGGGGCACATTGGGCATGGCCATGTCCCCTGCCATTGCCCCCTGGCCGGGGAGTCTCCAGAGGCACTGTACTTGTGTCAGGACAGTAGCTCCAGCGCTGGTCCGTGTCGTAGTTTGCCGTGGTGGCGCACCAGGGTAGGTGGTTCTGCAACCTGATGCAGGCATGGAAGATGTGGTTCTTGTACACGAAAGGGAAGAAGCAGGGCTGGCCGCCTGAGTTCCCGCCGTAGGCTGGGGGGAGACACAGACAGGGACCATCAGGGGGTGGGGTGCCCTGTGGGCAGCGCAGAGGGGTGCGGACCCCTCAGCCCAGCCTGGACAGAGCCTGGAGCGGAGGTAAGGCCCACCAGAGATGAGGACTCTGCTGCCACCCTGCAAGTGTCTGACGCATAGACAGACAGAGAGACGGGCGGGGGTGTATTGGGCTAGACAGACAGACCAACTGGGTGAGTCTGCCCTGCCCAGCTCTGGAGACGTCGCTGGGGCAGGTGTCAGGAAGACGGTGGCCGAGCGCCTGGATATTGGCCAGACCTGCCAGCTCTGGGCATGTGGGATAACAAATGGGGAACATAACGCTCCTCTGTGCTGCCCGGTGCTGCCCCCCCATCCCCATCCCGTCCCCGGACTGCCCTCTGTCTCTGAACCATGCCCCAACTACCCCCGTCCCCATCCCATCCTTCGGCTGCCTCTGGCCCATCCCCGTCCCCCGGCTTCCCTCCCGTCCCATCCCCGGGCTGTCCCCACATCCTGTCCTGTCCTGCCTCTGGATGCTCACCCTCCTCGGAGCAGACCCTGTAGGCCTTGTCCCGGTCGTAGTTGGCGGTGGTGGCGCACCAGAGCCGGCTGCTGTCCTCGGTTGTGCAGGCCGTGTAGACCTTGCCCTTGTAGGTGAAGGGGAAGACGCAGGGGGCAGGGTCCGCACCTGGCCATGAACAAGGGGCAGAGATCAGAAAAGGGGGCAACAGCTGCCAGGGGGCCCCTCCAAGCCTAGCAGGGAGAGCCCCGGGCCAGGGGTCAGGACACCTGGGTTCTAGCCACGGCTCAGGTTGGGAAGGGGACATCCTGGTTTGAGCAGGGGGGCTGGGAGCCAGGACTCCTGGGTTCTCTCTCTGGCTCAGGGAGGGGAGGGGGTCTGGGGAGCAGGGGCGGGTCTGGTGATGGACTCCTGCTGTCCATCTCCGACCTCCTGCCAGGCTGGTATGTCTCGCACCACTTCACAAAACACACTGTGCTACTCTACACAATGACAGCATGTCCCACAGCACACACTGCACTACACACGCACACTGCCACACAGCATCCACTACGCCACAACCCCCACACCACGATACTAGCCAACAATACACAACACACAGTGTATTACACTCCACAACAAAACAGTCCCCTGAACAGCACCGTACAGTTCCACAACATGGTCTCTTATACTTTACACCACACAACAACAGACTGCTCCTCGGCACACACTCTTCTACACTGTACACCAACACACTGCTGCAGAGCCACACAATCTACTCCACTACAACACACTGCTCCACAACACAGACTCTATTACACTACACAACACACTGCTCCACAACATGCACTCTACTACATAACACAACAGCCTGCTCCACAACACAACACACAGTTATTAAACTGCACAACAAAACAATCCCCTGAACAGCACCATATGGCTCTACTGCACAACACGTTGCTTCACAATGTAGTCTGTTACACTTCACACCACATAGCTACGCAACAACAGACTGCTCCTCAGTGCATTCTTCGACACTGCACATCAACACTCTGCTGCAGAGCCATACAATCTACTACACCCACCACGCACTGCTCCACAACACAGACTCTACCACACTACTGCTCCACAACATGCATTCTACTACACAACACAACATGCACTCCATTGCACAAGAACACACTGATCCACACCACTCCCCAACATGCTCTCTACTGCACTACAACACAACACACACTCTAATACACTACGCAACACCACACTGATCCACAACACAACAACATACTGCTCCACAACATGCACTCTACGCCACTACACAACACACCACTTCAGAACAGGCACTCCATTACAACACACTGCTCCACAACATGTACTTGACTACACAACACAGCACACTGCTCCACGGCACACACACTCTACTACACACCAACACCCTGCTGCACAGCCACACACTCTACTACACTACACACCAACACACACCGACCCGAGACAGCCCCTGCCTCCCTGACCCTGGGTCCCCTCGCAGAGCAGTGCCAGGGCCCAGGCCAGGACGCATGTGGCTGTGGGTGAAGCCATTCTCCCGTCCACACTGCCCCAGCCCCGAAGCCCCAGCCCCATATATACAGCCTCCCTTGGGGCTCCTCCCCTTGGCTGCGCCCCAGAATATTTCCTGCTCGACAGATGGCTTGCCACCTCACCACCCTGCCATGCCCATGGCATATCATGAACCCTCTGCTTCCTGAAACCTGAGCTCCCTGGGTGCCAGAACCTGTCCCACCCTGCCGGCTTAGGAACATCCTACACACCTCAGTCTTTGGTCATGACTGTTGTAGTCCAGGGGTCCACCTTACCTCTGCTTTCCATTATATTCTGCTTTATTATATTCAGCAGTATATAGACAGGCTTGGCTCCTGTAAGCCATGGCTTCAGCAGCTAGCATGAGGCTTGAGGCC